ATTTATTCTAAAACATTGTTTCAACGAGTAGTAATTAGAGGAGAGAAATCTGATCGAGTGATATTATCATGTTTCACTGTAAATTTTTTTTAGTTCTTCTGCTTCTTTCTTCTTCGCATCGTGTTGAACATCCATATCTGAAACTGCAGTTTATCGATGATTTATTGAATCGTTTATTTATGCTGTATATATTGTAATGTACGGGTATACACGTATACATTTACGCCGAGGAAAACATTCGAATATTCTTCGCGAGCATGAGTTCGAAATGAACTTTTCTATTTCGGGTTTAAACGTTTGCGTTTACGTTTTCACATTGGAAGAACGCTTACAATTGGGTCACCGAGACACGCTTCTTCGTCGTGTATTCCTCGCGTTTTACAGTTAATATGAACAGGGTGTCCCAGGTTTGAAGTGGCAAACTTTCGCGGTATATTCCATGGGTCTGAATAAGGAAAAAATGGTATATAAATAGAGGGTTGTTTGACGCTTTATTAAAAAGTTATTCGATGGGAACAGTAACAGACGCGGTTACTGCAATTCCATGGTGGAGTAGATCAACAATGACACGTTAGTTGGGTCGTATGTTTTACCACCTCGATTGAATGCAAATACATTTCTGAACTTTCTAAGGAATGAACTCGTATTTATGTTAGAAGACGTTCCGTTGTCAAGTACTCAAAACAGGTGGATGCAACTGGATGGGTGTTCGACAAATTATGCAAAAAGTGTTCGTCAGTGATTCTTTTCCACAAAAATGGATAGGTCGAGGAGGGTCAATACTGTGGCCTCCAGGATCACCCGATCTTACGCCATTTGACTTTTACGCGTGGGGAAATTTAAAGGAGAAAGTTCATGAAACAGTAATAAATACGCGTAATGAACTGGTACACAGAATTAATGATTCATTCACTGAGACAGAACAAAACATTTTGAACCGCTGTCAATCTTGTATTGCTCAAGACGATGGCCATTTTGAAATGGAACATTAGTTGCATCTACGAATTTAGTATTAAAATTAGTATTAAGTGATTTGCCTCGCATAAAACTACATGTAAATATCGCTTAACTGTTCCCTTCGAATTCCGTATCTTTGTTTACAACTTTTTAATCAATTTTTTTCTTGCTTAGGCCCAAAGAATATATTGGCAAAGTGTGACTCTTTAAACCTGGGACACCCTGCATGTACATATATATATATACTTATATACAATAGGACAGTGAAGATCAACGTTGTCATTCTCTACTTGCTATAGAAATTTATAATATTCTCTGATTTCTTCCTTTTTTTCTCTGGGCTAAACACACCCATAGTACCCTTAAAATCGACGTTAATTACTAGGATGAACTACCGTATTTATTCGCTGGTATTAAACATTCCACCGAGGAGAAAAAAGGGAAATTTCATTCTTCGACGTACAGAAGGAAGAAAAATTGCTGAGAACATAGCGTGACGATCCGGTGTATTTCCTTAGTGAACACAGTGAATTCGCTTTTATTTTGTTTATCGATAAAAGGAGAGTCGACGATGAACACGAGCATCTCACATCCATCCCCCTTTCGTTCTATCGAAAGCAAGTGCTAATTCAGAGGATACCTTAACTTCGAACAGATTAGAAGTACTGTGCAGAGATGGGAAGGTGGAGTAGCGGAATGAGTTGCGGGTTTGATTGGTAACAGCGAAATAGGCCCCGCCTTCTCCTACACCAGAGCTGTCCAGCGTATGGGCCCCTCACGCGCCTGCTTCCCCTTCCAACTGCTCTTCCGCGCAGCGTGCCTTCGTCGTCAAGGAAACCGCGCGACGCTAAGGAGGCGACCATGACAGGCTAGCGTTTCCGTAGTCAAGGAAGCTTAGCAGAAGCCACGTGTGACGTATTACTGTCTCTGTACCATGGTAACGGCGAACGATGATGGAGAAAACTTTGGACAGTGCTGACTTAATGGCGGAGATTTCGAGGAGGTCACAGACGAGATTAGGCGGAGCGAAGTCTTGCCCCTTGTTAGACGTGTTCTCATCTTTGCACAGTATGTGAAATAGAAAACGATCCTACGATTACAGTCCAGCCATCGGATTTTCTCGTTCATTGGAAAACCACGTAAAATCCATTTACAACGTAGCACGTCTCTACCTATAAATACCCTAGGCGAAAATCATAAGCCCGTTTACATAAATAACACGATGCAAATCGTGCTCGTCAATGTGCAAATCGCATCGTTAATACAAACATTAGATAATCCAACGGCGATTGTGTAGCCGGTAGCTGTTCGAATTACCCGCAACGTTCGTACAAATCAGAACACGTACATATGTACACATAAAAATGTAGAAAAAATAGAACACTCTATTTACTGAACACCGGCGAAAAAGAAAATAAGGAGAAACTTTATCCGTTGCCTACGTAAAATTTAGGCCTACGTGTTGCGTTCATCATGCACTTTCGGACCTTTCCTGATACAATCGTTGCGTCTCCTTTCTTCCTTTAAGCTAATTAAACCTACGTTCGTTTTTCTTCTTTCCTTCTTTCATCTTGTTCTCATTTGTTACAGTACAATTCTACACACTTACGAAATGATAGAAAAAACTGAACGTTTCAGAAGTTAGGTGAAACAGATTAACTTCTTGTGAATAGAAAGTAATGAAATGTATTTCAGTTACTTTTTTTCTTTCTCTTTTGTTTCGTTTCGTTAGGCGTACAGGATAAATGTACTGGCCGGCAAAGCAAAGTTGAGGCTTCTGACGTCATCGCCTGATAGGCGGAGCCAGATCATCCCCACTACTCGTGGGTCTTTCTTTGCCGCGGTTTGAGGGGAAGTTGCGGTGTAAGCAAATGGTTTAGATAAAAGAACAGGAAATTGATGATTGTTTGATTGTCTTGCCTTCTTACCTGTGTCGGTGCGTAAGACAAACATTGAACAGTACGGACGTTCATTTCCAACTGACTCATACACAATAAACTGTAAAAGAAACCTCAGGAAATATATTAATACTTCTTAAAATTTAGAAAAGTGAAAAGTAAACATTTTATTTTGTTATTCTCGAATAATAAAAGTCGTTTTCTGTGTTTTAAAAAATTGCATATGAAGCCCAAAAATTTCTGAATGAAATAGAAAGAAGCATGCCACCATCGGCACGTAACTTATCTATCGCAAACTGCTCACGCGAGTTCTCACATTCTATCGTGATTGGCTGATTAGCAGCGAGACGTCACAATTTCTATTACGTCTCCCACTTTTAAACCCTAAGACCCGCTTGATGCCTCAAGTTTGCTTTGCCGATCAATGCCTGGTCCAGCCAGAAAGGGCAAAGGCAATGGCGGAATATCTCGCTTAATGTGAAACGCCAAGTATAGTCGGTGGAAAAAATATAGCGAGGTCGTAAATTAAAGCATTAAGTAACGACACCGATTGACCCAGTAAAACACCCAGGGTAGAATCTGGCACTTTCCGTTTTTCGATTAGGGCTGAATCAAAGCTAAGGCATTACTTCATTACTTTATGCGGCCTTGACTCAGGTTTCGGGTCCTTATCTTCTCAAGCTTCTCTCGACATGCTTGAACATGTCAACTTTCACGTCAGACTGATTTTACGACCGAGCTATATTTCTTCCATCGACTATACACAGGTATAGAATTGGATTGTTCGTCAACGAAGCCGAGTCCTCTACGAACGTTTCGTCGTACGCAAGCCGAGAAGTTGGTGTACGGTAGTAATCTGCGGGTCTGATTAGTTGTAGTGTAATAGACCAACCAATTCTGACACAATCATAAAGACGGAGGCACACGCATTTTCGTTATTCGCTAAAACGATCACATCTAGTCGGGTGATGTAACATCGCGTGACGAAGAGATCAAATTGGACACCTCGAAACTGAGTGGGATAGAGCGATGAACTTCGAAACATTGGCGTAAACGTACATTCAGAGCGTATCCCCCGTCTTGAAATGTATCTCTCGCAGATACGGAAATCCTACTACTTCATCAGCATGGGCCGTGAGAAACCTTAAGGCGGCTTCGAGAGCGTCACAGGTGGAGAGAGGCGGAGCGATCGAAGTATAGTTGGTGGAAGCGATATACCGAGGTCGTAAAATTAAATCGTTAAACGGCGATATTTAAAATGTCTGTTTACGATCTTTCATTTTAAATTAACCTGCAGCTGTCAACGATTCAGGCGCAGAGAAATTTTTCAAATATGCCGCAAAATGGAAGAATCAGTTCCGAATTGACATTGAACGTCCCCGAACGAGGCTCGAGCTTCTTATCTCCCTCGATTTTCTGTTTTAGTGCTCGGATTACGTGTACTTTGACGCCTGACCGATTTTACGACCTCACTGTATCGCTTCCACCGACTATACCCCTCTTTTCCCTGTACCGTACGCCAACTTCTCAGCCCTGCACGCTACATGTATGTACTTGTGGCTGCGTGAGTAACGAATTGTCATTTCAAGTAGTTTCATCCCCAATTCGATTCCGCGTATATTATATTACCTTCGAATAAAAAGTTTTCGAGCGTTGCGGAACAGTTTTGAGGGGAATAGCGGCATTCGTCGTTCGGTTTTATCCTTCCGAGGAAAGATTTTCGCGAACAAAACGCAGAACTCAGCCATTTTACGAAATGTCTTTTGAATCCCCCTCGAAGTGTATTACGTTTGAAGTAGCTCGACCGAAGTTCGGGAAATGTTCCGAATTTCAGCGAGAGAGGACTGCCGTCTCGTCACTGTTTAAGGAATCTCGAAAGTTTCGCATCGTGTTTCTAGGATTTTTCGAAAATTCTCCAAGTCTTCCACGCGCGGTTTCAGTGGAAACTTTCGAAAAGCTCGCGGAATCCTTGGGCGACTTCTGGTCGTCTGCGAAGTTTCCAAACTGCCTGACCGAGCCTTAAAAATCTCCAAACTTTCGAAATCCCCTTTCCTCGCTCGCCGACGCCCAACGATTCGTTTTCCCCGGGAAGTCGAACGAGAAGTTACACTTAATTATCGGTCGTTTCACGGTAGTAGCGGTTGGTGCTCGTTCGAAACTTTCACGTTCTAATTCTACCTTGGGATAGGAATAGTGGCAAGGAGAGAGGTGACGAGGGGAGGTGAGATCGATTATATGAAAGTAGATCGGGATGGGGGGATTTGTCGTCGGAGCTTTTGACGGGCTTCGTTGCATCCACGATGAAATTCTTCCGTTCGCTCGTGAAAAGAGCCTCGAACGAGATTTCTCTGAATCTTCGGAATGCTTTGTATCCATGTATCGAAAGGCTTTACATCAGGCTGCACAGGGCTATCCCGTTGTCGAACGCTGATTGGAGGGCGGTCGTCTCCATGCAAAATGCACCGTCCTCGTACATCGTAGCGATTCTTTGCTGCTGCACGCGACTCTCACTTTGAGATCTGAAATTTTACATACAAAGTTCAATTTTTTTAAACGACTCTCTTAAATACGTTACCAGGGGAACTTTTATAGTTGCCTCGCGTTCACCTCGTTTGCCAAGAATCTTTCTTTTTCTTCCTCTCTCGGAGGATAACTTTAATCCGTCGCCATCTGCGCGAATTACGTTTCACGTGTTTAACGCGTTTATCTAGAATAGTTAAAGCAGCGATTCGGAATTTTATCGAGCCTTTTCGAAGCGCCAGAGATAATTGAATAACTTTCAAACGAGACTCGGAGTAGGGGAGAGGGCCGGTATTATAACTTCCAGTGAGATTAACTCGAGATTAAACTGTCCCCTCTCCCCATCCCGTTTCACTATTTTCGAACTCCTCGAAATTTTCCTCGAAGCAAGACGAATTCGGTAATAAAACGAGATTCGATCTGCACTCTCTCTATCAGAGAAAGAGAAAAAAAAAGACGCTCGCTACTTGGATTTCTATCTCGAATGAAATTCACATTATGTACAATGTCTCAGGGGTGTCGTAGACACGTGGTCGTCCGAAAAGACCGTGTCTGAATTATTTCGTCACATTTCCCTCCTTTTTTCTCCACTTTCGCCTCGCCTCGACGAGAACTCACCTGGGAGGCATTGCTCGTACACGTTGCTGCGTCCTCACTTGCTCCCTGGACATTTGCTGGTTCGAGAGATAGTTGTTGTCTCGCAGAACGGCCCCCTGATGATGGTGGTGATGGCCAATGGACCTCTCGTTGTTCTGAGTAATCGACAACTGCGCCAGATACTCCCTGAGTTCTGGTTGATTCGCGAGAAATTCGCGGCGCGTTTGCACGTTCGGCGCCGCGGCCGTTGTCGTCGTTGTCGTCGAGTCGGACCACGGCGGGGGCGGTGTACGAGATCGCGAGATCATGGCGTACTTGTGACACAGGTACTCCTCGTAGGTGGGCGGCAATCCGGACTGAAACAACGGTGTTTCATGATTCGACTTTACGATTGATTTTTACCGACTTTTTTTTATTCCAGAAAACATTTTTCCTCGTATTCTTTTCATTCTCCTCGATTTACCAAGCTCCCCTTTCTTTTCGAATTTACGACGACGATTTATGGGGTTTTTTTCTTTTTTTTTAGGATGACGAATTTTTTTTTTACCATATTTCCCTTTTCAATTTGTCTTCATGAATTTTGTAAATGGTGTTTTCCTAACTTTTTTTTTCATTATCCAAGGTGAAAAATGAGTAGGAGAAATTTTTCAATTAATTAAATTCTTTTTCTTGAACTTTAACAAGCGTACACAGTGATTTCGGGAGTTTTTATTCTGGAAATTCTCACTCGTCTGATTATCGAGAGAATTCGTTAACAATGCAGGGGAGATGGGAAGGCATTCGGCATTAATTGTAAATTGTTTCCGTGTAATTGTCGAATATCTCCATCGTGAGGAGTTGTGGGAGAGAGAGAGAGAGGGATTATATCGAAATTCAGCGAGAATGCAACCACAGAGAATGGTTCTCTCTGTATATTACAACTTCTCGCTTTGGGAATATGGGCGGGGAGAGTGTTGTTACACAACTGAGTACCTGATTTTGTTGTTTGTAGAAGGGAAAATTCGACGCGGGGAAATATTGCTTTAATCTCGTTTCAGAAATTGACGATCGTTTTTCAGCGACAAGAACAACTCCGTGGAGAATTAGGAAACAAGGGAGAAGAAGCTCCTGTAATATATCAGAATGAAGTGTTGTGTTCACAGAAAGTGTCGGGATTCATTTTGTAAAATCCTAATCATTTCTGCGTGTAATTGACATTTAAACGAGCAAGAGCAATTTGTAGAATTAATTCTAAGAAGAAAAATTTGTTTATGTAGTCAAGGATGGAACTCGGGCCAGCAGCTTGAGAGAACAAGAGTGCTACTCACTTGGCTACCGAACCACTGCGTCAGTCATGTCTTACGTAGAGTACATATCGCACTTGAAGTTACTTTCACAAAAGTTCTTAACCAAATCGCGATATTTTACACTGCCCTACAAAATTCAACTCAATTTTCTACACTTTTTATCCGACGAAACAATCGGAAAACAATCTTTCAGCGAGTTTCACTAATCAATAACCGACAATGAATTTTCATCGTACTTTCGACGAGAACAACTTTTTTCCATAATATTATCGGAAACAACTATTCTTCGTACAGTAACGATTATAATATTCACTTGTAATTTCCGATAACAATGAATTTACATATTAATTCGTAGAATGTATTCTTTTTTTTTTTTTACTGTAACACCGCTTTTCCTCCAACTCGCCACTTTCTTCACATAAATCCCTCGTTTCGCGAGTTTCTCATGCAACCTCCGGAGCAATTTCCACGCGGACTTAATTCACGGCTTGTCAAACGCAAGAAAGCCACGGGAACGGAAATGCCTGGGAAATGAAATCGGCCCCCGTGACAGCCTATAAAACGCGGGCAACGAGCTCAGCGAAACTCTGGTCGACGATCGTTCCTGGCCAGGACTTTCAAGTGGGTCGCAGACGAGAGTGTTTTTCGCACAGTGTGGTTGCGACGTGGCACGAAAATTTATGTGTCGCCCGGCGCCGCGGAACTATGCGGCCGAAATGGCCAGCAGTTGAATGGTTCTCGAGTTAAGGAGCGTTCGTTCCAAGATTTTTCCTGTTGTTCTCTGTTCCAAACCCCCTTCATCTTCCTTTTTCCCCCTTTCACCCCTCCTTTTCATGGAAAACGATCGTGATCGTTACGAGGGAATCTTTTTGCTCTCTTTTCCAAGCCAATTCTCCACGTACCAACCGAGTGAGTTAGGTTTTTGCTTCGCTCAGTTCGTTTCTAGACGGCCTGAGAGGGTTGATTATTCGGATAATCGAATATTCAGCAAACGAGACTCGAGCCAGCGGAGTGGATTGAGCGTTTTGAATATTCAAGCATTAATTTCCATGTCACCGGATTATGTACGCGTCTACGGTTTGCGGATACTCCTACACACGGGATTAAAAGTCGACCTTTTTCGGTGTGTTACAGTCACACTAGCGAATCATTCTCGTATAGTTCTGTTCCAGTTTCGAATTTGTTCGTTCCTTTTTTTTTTTTTTCGTCTTCTGTTAGTAAATTGGCGAGTGATCTGGGGAGCTGGCTAAAATCGCTGGAATATCGAGAGAGAGAGAGAGAGAAAAATATACTTCAGCGCAATCATCGAGGAATTAGGACGGCTTCGAGGTAGCCCCAGCATCGATTTTATGGATTGCACACTGGCCTGCGGTTGTTTTAATTCCGTACGTTGAACTTCGCGCGATGAAATAGTGTGGCCTGGTTTCTTCGATTTTGCTAACCGTTGGTTAAAGGGTTAGGTACTTATGTATATCTCGGAAAAATTTTGTTTGAGTTTGTGACTTTTTTTCGACGAAAGTAAGCGTAATGTGATCGTGAATTTTTCGTTAGTCGAAAGGTTGTGAATTTTGTTAATAAGCGTTGAGAAGTAACAATGGTACTGCTAGTTTTTCACAGTAACAGATATGAATTGTCGGCCAAAAATTTAGAAGCACTGTATAGTGTAAGGTAGAAGGTTTAGGTAAAAGTTTGAAAGAGAAAACGTTATAAATTTAACCCTCTGTAAAAAAAATGGTATTTACAGTTTATAAGTCTCACTTCATTTTTTTATTGTAATACTATTGCAATATCCTTACCAGCCAATTTCTTGACAATAATTATTAATTTCTGCTTCTCCCGTCAAAAAATGAAATTGTAACGATCCTTCTTATGAACGAGAGAAAATCGGAATATAGAGTATTAACTTCTGATAAGTCTCTCATTACCCAAACTCATCAAAACGTAAAGTAAAGTGCTGTAGATCCCTACAAAATTAACTTTGTATTCTGTCAAAAAATTGCTAGCAGGAATTGAACAGTGGGCTTCAACTTTTGAGAGGTAGAAAGGAACATTTAAAAATTTTCAAAGTACCGATTTCAATGTTACGAAAATATTCTACAGAAATTTGAATATTCTGCAAAGATCGTAATTCGACTCGTAGGTGCACGTGACTCCATAGATTGTGAAATTTCTTCGCGAAACGTTATAGAATGGAATATCCGCTTTCAGGTCGATTCTGCCATGCCTAATTAATAGCTTAAGCGTGCAATTAGCTGAACGTCAGTTCGTTTACAGGAGATCTATAGATGCACGGGTCGATGGTGGACCCGTTGTCTAACAAGTCGGACCGCGAACGACCTTTGCCTATCTAGTCTATCTGGTGTCTGACTAGGACAGGCCATTACTACTCGGTAGTTAAATTCTCATCGTCACGTTTGAATGGTGGATGGCTTCTAATTCCGCCGTTCACCCTATACATCCGTTCAATGGCAATTTCATGACACGTGTAACGATCGGTATACAAGCCCCATTGTACCCTTTTATGGGGGTTACCAATGGTGCACACTACTCAAGCAAACGTTTCGAACTGTTGCTATTCATTACGACGTATTTTACGTGGAAAAATTCTTCGAAGAGTCGTTCAATGTATTTCAGTGGAGGTATTTAATTTTGAATAAATAGAAAAATTCACCGAGTTATCCCTTTCGTTTCCTATTATTTTCACTAATGGCTCTCAGGATTTTCTTTCTTTCATTAGTGACTTTTCGAGATTCGAAACGAAACCATTTCTAATTTCTCACTCATTTGTAATAGAAGAATAAATTGTTTTCAATTGTATATTTGATAGTTATTTATGGATGTTTGTCATTTTGGAAAAGACAAGTTGAGCCTCAAAGAGTTGAGTATATGACATTTCCAACTTTTGCGAAGTAGGAAAATTACGGTATTCGTAATAATAGTAATCTAGTATCGGGGCCTCCATACCCAAAAATAGGAAACCGGCACGGGAGAATACAGAGGGAGTGGTTGGCGTAGCGCGCAAAGCCTCGGCTTGGTAAGCCGAAGGTCCCGGGTTCGATTCCCGTTGGGTCCCCCTCAATATTTTTCCCTAGGTTCCTACAAATGGGGGCTCGTCCGGAATGGAGGCATCTACGGCTGCACGAAGCCAGGCGCTGTGAGATGAAACATGTGAGAGGGTTTGCACGTCTCCCAAAAAGAGTTGAGAAGCAGAGTTTCGGCTGAGAGTGGCACTGTGTGAGGGAGTGTACCCGAAAGTGTTGAGTTGAGGAGTTGTGGTTGCACTGAGGACATTCGAGGGCGAATGTCAGTTCAGGGATGACCGAGTGTAGTATCGGGGCCTCTATACCCAAAAAATAAGAAACCTCGAAGGGAGAATAGAGAGAGAGTGGTTGGCGTAGCGCGCAAAGCCTCGACTTGCTAAGCCGAAGGTCCCGAGTTCGATTCCCGTTGGGTCCCTCAATATTTTTCCGTCGTCGGTTCCTACAGTAATAATAATAAAGTATTGCTAATTAAAGAGAAGTTACATCATAGAATTTTGCACAAAAGTATAGAAAGATTGCATGTTTTGGAGTGTATTTGGAAGCAACGAATGCTTGAAAAAGCTGACCAAATAATGGCTTTGTGCGTGGGCGTTGATTAACAACGATCGTTCCCCATTGTCTGGATGTATTGAAAGAAATAGGGGCTTATTTCTGTCAGCAATACTACCCTTATCTTTCGCCTGTCACGAAAATAACGTATTGCCATTGATATTCGTCGTATATTCATAATTAACTCCTTATCGTAAAGCATATTAATTACACCAGTTTCCCTCATCTGTTAATTGTATTCTCTCGAAAATGAAATTTTTAATTATGTTCTTCCTCAAAATATTAAAACTTGTTCAAAGTTCAATGTATCGATGAAAATTCTACGTTCCACTGAAAACAAAAAACGGAACGAGTTAATTGTAAAGGAAGTCGTCAGAGAGACTGATTACACTCGTCGTGTTTTCCCGTTCGAAAATCTATTTCCTGACCGTGGGGCTAATAATAATCACTTACCTGCCACGTTTTCGAGATCGCTACGTCGTAGGTGGGCGGCGGCGATACCATAGAAGGAATGGTGTAAACGGGTTGCGATCTACTTTGCGCGTTTAATTGACTATTTCCGGTTTCGTTAGCGCTCGCGTTCGGCGTGTCTGGAATGGTGGAGTATAGCGACTCCGGTATAGCGTTCTCGCGAATTCCGCCACCCAGTATGCTCGAGCCAGATTCTGCACAACGAAATATCAAACAATTGGGAAAAATTCCAAGCAAATACAAAAAGAAAACTGCTGAATTTCATATGTAGAACTTTCTCTGATATTTTTGAAAATCTTGCTTGGGGCAATTCGAGAACTAGGGCTGTGAAACTTCGAACGGTCGAAATAATTTGGATAATTTCGAGTACGAATTTTTTATTCGAATAATTCGAGTGTTCGAATTATCTGAATATTCGGGTTTCCGTAACAGCCCTGCTACGAACACTGAACTGTATTTGATATTTTACAGTTGAGATTGTGGAAGAATTATGATTACTGGGATTGTTTTAATATTTGAAGATTTCCATAGCAAATTTTTTTTCCATATAGGTGTCCAATTTTGTAATTTTAAAAATATAGAAAATTAATTGGACGAGTCAAATTTCGTCTCTGTGAAAGTATACCAACAAGGAACATTACATCCAATAGGCTTTTAATTCTCTATCGTTCTCACTCCTTAACCCCTTGACATATAAAGATATCTGGGATACGTCATTTGTTTATTATGTTATTGTAAACACTGTCGTCTCTGAGACGTCGAGAATTTTACGTCGATTAAATTCGCTTTCAGTGTGCTTATGAAGAAAATGTGACAGAAGTATTATTACATATTTTCAGTGTGAACATTAGGAATAATAATCCCAAAGCAACACCCTGTCTGTTCAAAGAATAATATAGGAAGTGAAATAACTTGGTAATATAAAAAGTGTCGAATACTTCTACATTTACCAGAATGTTTTGAACAGTTTCATACTCCACAGGACTATTAAATGCTTCTTTAATTTATTACTCAATTATTGTTTATCAATATTGTCTTACGATATCTCGCGAAGTAACGCAACGAGTTTCATTTTATTTATATGTCAAAAGATTAAATATAAATAACCAGCGATAAAAGAAAACACGTGTCGAACATTTTCGATTTCTCTGACTGTATCGAAAGTTTCAGCATGTCACAGTTAGATGAGATGTTCCTTGTAAACATTGGAACGACAAACAATTCGAAAATTGTTCCCATAACTTAAACGTTGGCCTTCATTTCAGACAGTTTGAAGGACCGAACATTTTGGCCCATGTCATCACTAACCTATATAAGTATAGTGTGACTCCGCCCTGTCTGCGCTTCGAGTCCTCCTAGAGTGATTCAGTCGTTTCTCGTGTTTGCTGCTCTTTATAACTGGTCTGGCTTGTTCCGCCACAGAGCTGCTGCTTCCTGTTTCGGAAGTTCTGCTCTTCCCGCGGGCGTCGTCTTGCTGCTTCTTGGCAGACCGCCCGTCCGACTTGCCGCCCTTCGATTTCGATATCCTGATCGTCACCTTCCTCGGGGACAGACCGCCATTTCGTGATTTTGGCAGGTCCACCACCACCCCGCAGCCGCATACTGGCGCATTTTCGTTAGGCATTCTGTAATTAGATCATTTCAGTTTTCATTATTTTCTGCAGCTTCTTGACAGACAGCTGTATATAGGGAGATTCCATTTCTTTGTTTACGTGTTTATTTAGGAAATACTAAAAACTGTAATATTTGGAAATACAAGAGAAATTTTGCAAAAAGGCATTTTATTAATAACTGAATGTATAAATTTATTGATAGCTGAATATCGAAAGTTACTAATACTTGAATATCTAAAGGAGGATGTTAAAAAATGGTCAATTTTTGCATACGGCTGGAATGAAAAATTTTTTACAGCAAGATTCTACGCATCCTAAGGAACAAAAAATGTAATTGTCATTTTTCCAGGAAATGATGGGAAAGTTATGAAAAATGCGGTTCAAGATAAGAGTATGACCATACTTATAACTTATATTCCGTCTCGTTTTCTTCGGACGATGGTCTGTTCGTAAATTAACCACTTAGAAACTCATATTGAGTATTATTTATAAATTTTGATTAAACAGACACACGACCTTCCATGAAAGGAAATGACTTTGTTGGCAGCTCGTTGAACTCGTCTTAACATACACTATCATATTATGTATAAAAAAAGTATAGCATTCCATTTAAAAAAATTAAACTGACTTTGAAATCTCCCCCATCATACCAGGTAGAAAGAAAAATATTTACACCACATAACGTACCCCTTCATACCAAACAACATTTGTTAAAACACTTTTTTCCTAACATCACTTCCTTAAAAGATATTTTACTGTATTGAGATAAAACAGATACCCTCTTTTTACATCGTGAATTATTTTAACAGTTGCAGTTTGGTCTTTTTATTTTTTAAATTCGCAGTATTACGGTAAATAGACTGTGTGTTTTGATGGAAATGTTAATTGAAGATTTTACAATCGCTACAGTCGATCATGAACGCTTTGTGAACGCAGCACTTTTATATTTTTGTGGAACATAGGAACTCGTTGTGCCTTACTTCTTTGTGTTATTATAAATACACAATACAATGGAAGCATAAATAGTGAATATACTGGTAAATCACACTAAGTCCCAAAATAATCGTTTTTATTTTACGGTGAAAAAACATAAAAATCACTCCTTTATACTTTATCTTTCGTATTCCACAACACTGATTTTTCTTCATAGAGAGTGATTAAATCAGTGATTTCATGTCTCCACTAATTTTTTTTCCTGACTTTTTTTACTCGCACGAGAGTTCTGTCAAGAATACGAAACTGCTTGGTGTTTGCAAAGCAACTATTTATTCGAGTCGTAACTCTCACAGAGTTGAGCGATGCTCTCAGACGCAGTGCCCACTCGCGAGCAACTCGCTATAATTTTACTTTTAAAAGGACAGTGTAACGATTTGAATTTAAAAAGGGCGCGTCTTTTTACCGTGATCGGCGTGCGTCCGCCGAGCGGCGTTGGGAGCGGCGATCGCGCATGCGTCGAGCGAAAAAAAGTATGGCGTATTGTATTGTATTAAGACCACGTGCGTGACGTTTGTTCTCAATTTTTCCCATAAAAGTAATATAAAATCAGAAAATTCTTTTCCTGCTAACTCTTTTCTGTGCGCGAATAGCTTTATGTTTGGCTCGATGTACATACAGCGACCCAGGCTCGCGTTTCTTATGTTTTTCTTGAAAAAGATATCACGAGTCTCTCGCAATGTTATGAGACAAAAGGGTGACTCAGTCCCGATGTTTCTTGCTAGACTAGCTGCGTGCAAACAGCGAGCCTCGCGCAATGTTATGGTATGTGAAGTTAACCAGGCTCAAGCATACATACTTGAGGGTTACTCACACGCCTAGGATTTTTCCCAGAATGCTGCGTGCCAGGGAGCAGACATCGGGCAAATCGTCACGTACGCAGTTGCTGTCTAGACGCCTACCGGACGAGTGCGTCGACGAACGACGTTTGTACCGTGCTATCATAGGCTTGTAGAAAATTCAGTGCGCCTTCGAATAAAGCGGTTTCGATTGTGCGTGGATTTCGAATCAATTTACGTACTTAGCATATTCGTTCGTGTGAATTAAGTGCCGCTGCATACAAGAAGCTAGTGCACCGAATACAAGTACGCAACGAACGGCTCAGCTTTGGAGAAAAATCAAACGAGAAGTGTCTCATTTCTCGATCAATCTCTTTTTCCTGACATTTTTTACTCACACGAGAGTTCTCTCAAGAATACGAAACTACTTCGTCTTTGGAAAGCAACTGTTCGACAGTAGTATGATTACGTATCCATTCGAGAGCAAGTCTCGACACGTTTACTCTCAGGCAGTTGAGCTACGCTCTCGGACAGTCAATCTCAGGCGCAGTGTCCATTCGCGAGAATACTCTCGAGAGCAACTCGCGATAGTTTTACTTTCAAAATGGCACGTAGCTGCGTATTTAGTTCGAGTTGTAACTCTCAGAGATTTGAGCGATGCTCTCAGACAGTCACTCTCAAACGCAGAGTCCACTCGCGATAGATACTCTCGAGAGCAACTCGCGATAGTTTTACTTTCAAAATGGCACGTAGCTTCGTGTTTAGTTCGAGTTGTAACTCTCAGAGAGTTGAGCGATGCTCTCAGACAGTCACTCTCAGACGTAGTGTCTACTCGCGAGCAATTCGCGATAGTTTTACTCTTAAAAAGACAGTGTAACGATTTGAATTTAAAAGGGGCGCGTCTTTTTACCGTGATCGGCATGCGTCCGCCGAGCGGCGTTGGAAGCGGCGACCGCGCATGCGTCGAGCGAAAAGAAGTATGGCGTATTGTGTTGTACTAAGACCACGTGCGTGCCGTTTGTTCTCGGGACAGCTAGCTTATGTTTGGTTCGATGTACGTACAGCGACCCAGGCTCGCAAGAAATATCACGAGTTCTAAGAAGTTAAGGCCTAGAATTTTTGCCAGAACAGTTGCGAGCGTACAGCGATAAGAAATCGGGCAGGACGACTCGTCATCAGTCGGTGTTTACCAGGCTGTCGAACGAGTGCCTCGACGAACGACGAATGTCGCTTGTACTGCGCGATTATAGTCTTGTAGGGAATATAGTGCTCATACTAACAACGCATTTTCGATTATACGTGGATATTTTTTTGAAAAATTTTGATGTTCATTTCGAATTAATTTACACATTCATCATATACATATTCAGAATTTTCTGTGTTACGGTATTCTACATCCTTTGGATTCCACAACACCGATTTTTCTTCAACGAAGAGATATTAAATAGGTAATTTCATTTCTCGACCAGTTTCTTTTCCTGACATTTTTTACTCGCACGAGAGTTCTCTCAAGAATACTAAACTACTTCGTGTCTGGAAAGCAACAGTTCGACAGTAGTATGATTACGTATCCATTCCAGAACAAGTCTCGACACGTTTACTCTAAGACAGTTGAGCTATGCTCTCGGACAGTCGAGCTGAGGGGCAATGTCCACTCGCGAGAGATACTCTCGAGAGCAACTCCCGATTGTTTTACTTTCAAAATGACATGTAGCTTCGTGTTTAGTTCGATCTACATAATACAGACAACGACTCTGGCTCGAGTTTCTTATGTTTGGTTTAATTTCTTATATTTTGCTCGAGTTTCTTATAGCCCAAGTTACATACTTGAGGGTCACTCACACGCCTAGGATTTTTCCCAGAACTGCTTCGTGTAGCAGCGAGCAGAAATCGGGAAGATCGTCACGTACGCAGTTAGTGCTTACGGGCCTACCGAATGAGTGCGTCGACGAACGACGTTTGTACCGTGCTATCATAGCTTGTAGAAAATTCAGTGCTCCCTCGAACAACGCGTTTTCGATTATACGCGAATTTTCAATCAATTTACGTACTTAGCATATTAGTTCGTGTGAATTAAGTGTCGCTGTATACAAGAAGCTAGTGCACCGAATCCAAGTACACGACGAACAGCTCAGCTTCGGAGAAAAATCAAACGAGAAGCATGTTCTGCGAGCTATACAGCTGACATACGTACGCAATCGAATGATTGAGTTAATTGAAAATAGAGGAGAGCCTCCGTATAGCTAATTAGATTAATTACTGCAACAATTTCGTTTTATCGTATCCTAAGTTTATTTTTCACACAAATTAGGTTTTTTACTGTTGTCTCCCCGAAACGTATACATATTCTATCCTTTTCTGGAAAAGCACTGTCTCTTAGTAAACAACTAAGTCTTTTCACGCGATCTACTTCGTTTGTTATTATTTTAACGACAATATACGACAATTGACACGCAGTGCAGATGATAGGACTTTAGTTTTCCGTAAAACCGGGGAATGGTTCCCAACTACGCGGATTTCCATCTACGCGGACAGTCGACGTCTCTAAACCTACGCGTTGTTCGACAGAACACTGTGTACATATACAGGTATGTTTAGACTGATATGTAAGATGATACTTTTTCCTCTGGCTTTTCATAGTGGATACACAATTAAGAAATGCAAATTCTGTTAGTCTTACTTTTTTATTGTATCCCTGTCATGACGATTATTTTATTATATTTACGATAGTTTATTATAACTTTTATTACTTAGAGATTAAATAACTATTGGTTTCTGATTGCTTCGAATATAAGCATTGTGTCATCAAAGAATTCCTTGTTTCGATTAATTATTTTTCATTATTTTTGTTTTTTATTAAACAGTAATGTACAACAATGTTTGTAAATAATACTCAATATGAGTTTCTAAGAAAACAAGACGGAATATTAAGTTATAAGTATGGTCATACTCTTACCTTGAACCGTATTTTTCATAACTTTCCCATTATTTCCGGGAAAAATGGCAATTACATTTTTTGTTCCTTACGGTGCGTAGAATCATGCTGTAAATAAATTTTTCGTTCCGGCCGTATGCAAAAATTGATCTTTTTTTAACATCCTCCTTTATTGGTATCTGAATATCGAAATTTACCAATATCGGAATATCGAAATTTACCAATATCTGAATATCTAAATTTTCTTCCGTAATTGCCAAAGGTATGAAAGCAAGAACAAACATTTTGAATTTTATTTTAAATA